TGCTGCTACAGCTGATATATATTTGTTGTCAAAATACCTTTTAGTACATGTGTTGTTAAAATAAAATGAACAGTTCGATAATCATTTTACTGATATGTATAAAGACTGCAAAGGCTGAAAAATCTTGGTCTGTATGATATTGGAGGTAGTTTGAGGATTAAATTTTTTATGCTTTTTAAGCTCAAAAATGGGGGATCGTATTATACATGAGATCGTATTATACACGAATAAATACGGTAAGTTTTGCAACTTAACTGTTGAAATTTATGCTGTAAAAAGATGTTAAATAAAAACATGCAACTACGAGTACTAATACTGGAGCTAAACCTGAATTTTTTTGTTTAGCATTCAGAATTTGTTTTTTATTTATGTGTTAACATTTTAACTGTGAAGTTATTCTTCCAGTAAAAAGACGTGTAAATTAATGTCCCGATGCATTGAAGTCTGATATGAAAATGATCACTATGGTAACGGGGTAGCGCGTGGTCACTCAAGCTTACGTGAAGCCAGCGTCACATGAAGGGTAGACCGTCTCATTTCACAGCAGTTTCAGGCAGCCTACCCAGCCCGGGTAGGACGTGGCCCAGCTGGGCGCTCATGAGGACCCAGCCATGAATGGAGACACTGCCACTGTTTTGACTGGCTCATGTCACGGTCATTTCAAACAGTGTGCTCTTTCAATATGGTTAGTTAACACACACCTGAAGCATTTATAACACGTTTATAACACATGAATAACATTAGAACTCAGTTTTCTGTTGTCTCAGGGTTTCTGGTAGAGAGAACACTCCATCAATATGACGGCTTGTCCTTAGGGAGCAGGTGGAACCCTGTCAAATAAAACCTGTMTTTGTAAAGTTTTCTTCAGTACAAAGGTACTATAATGTTTAAAATATCACCTTTTTAAATTCAACAATGCTATTAAAACACAATATGAGAGTTTCTGGAGCTCCAATGTTGAATGACTTCATGACTGGTTTATCCTCCATGTGGTAAATATGTCTTTGTTGTGGTTTATCAGCAGAACTCAAACACTGCAGTAGAATCTGTATAAGTACAGTTAATAAAAGCTGAACTGTTCTGGTTTCATYGTTCAGAACATGTTTTCATCCAGTATGGTCTTAAACAGCACTGTGGGCCACACAGACTTACTGAGATGGTCTTAAATGGCTTGCGGGCCGTACTTAGGACCCCCCTGCTGTATTCTGACCCTGCTTCATGTTTTCTCCCAGCCTTCAGCCTGGACACCTGCAGGATCATGATCGCCATGCTGGACGTATCCTTTCTGAGGCTGGGCCATCAGGGGGTCCTGAGGGGGTCTTCAGGTCCCAGCCTGGCCAGCTGAACCCAGTTCCTCTGCAGGTCTGTGTCTTTGCCGTGGTTTCAGTCTTAACCCTGACATCTCCAGAGGGACTTCACAGGCAAGATGGGCTTCAACGAGTTCAAGGATCTGTTCACGGCTCTGAACGGCTGGAAGCAGAACTTCATGATGTTCGACCAGGACCGCAGCGGCACCGTGGAGCCCCACGAGATGTCCCAGGCTCTCGGGGCCATGGGTGAGAGGCGTTCTGATGGACCACCTAACACCTGGAGAGTTTAACCACGTTTAATTAGAGCTCAACAAGCAGAACTGATTTACTTATCTGCTGCATTATCCTTCATCAGACTCCTGTCAGACAGTTAGTTTCAGTAGATCCACTGATCCAGGTCTGCGGGGCCTCAGGTCTGCGGGGCCTCAGGTCTGCGGGGCCTCAGGTCTGCGGGGCCTCAGGTCTGCGGGGCCTCAGGTCTGCGGGGCCTCAGGTGAACAGTTTGAGTTATAAGCATTTTTGCATGTCCTGACACCCCCAACTTGAAAGGAGCCCCCTCCTCACATATGGGGTCTATCATAAAAC